ATCCGATTCGTCTCCGGAAGTATCCTGGCGTGGGCTTATGCCGTCCTTGCCAGATAGGAGCCGGTCAATATCCTTATGGACGCGGCATCTCCTCCATCTTTTGTGAAGGCGATTGCCTGCCTCGCTGTCTTTGTCGAGGAGGAGAGATTGGCCGCCACCCCCCTCCTGCGTGAGTAGACCCGCCAGCTTCTCTTCTGTTCCAGGAACCTGGTCGAAGAGCCATACGAGGGCAAGCTCGAGAGTTCGGATCAAGCCGGTCTGGACGCCGCGCTTCTTCGGTGCGACATTGTATGTACATGGCCGCGACAAGGTAACACAGGAGAAGCATTGAGGTTGGACGCCATCACACTTCTCTCGGGCACTGTCCGCATAATTAGCAAAAGTTCGGTTCACACATGTAGTAAGCTGGCGATAGTGACACTGAGACCAGCACCAAAGCCGATATCGCAACCAATGCGCGGAATGTTATCGACATAGCATTGGCTACGCCGAAACGCTTGCAACGGAGAAGCACCCGGGCTTGTAGTTCCCTGGGCATCTAGTCGCTTGGAGGAAACGCTCGGCAAGAAGGCAATGAAGATGAGAGAAAGGGAGAATGGAAAACAATGGTGCTGGATTCTGCTTGCCTTCTGCATTGGTCGCATGCACGAGATACCCTCTGGCGCTTTGGGACAGAGGTCGAGGTGACACTGTTCTCGGCATCTTGAGCCTTTCTCTTGGATGGCATCCTTCAGTCGTAGCCGCAAGCGGCAGGGTAGCTCCAATGGCTCACGCCGCGGAGGACGGCATAGAGGGCGCGGCACGAGAAGCGGTGATGTCGACGAAGAAGCTGCGAGGGCAAACGAGCGCGCGCTGCGAGCGATGATTGAAGCGAAGTGAGCAGCGACTGGGGTTGTGATTTGCGAGTGGATGTTGCGTTGCGTTGCGGCGAGCGGGATGAGCAAGGTATGATGGCACACGGTTGAGCAGCAGAAGCAGCAACTCCAGCCAGCAGTACGGATAGTAGCAGCAGTAGTATCAGACTCAGCAGCGGCCGTAGCAAACAGCAAGCAATGATGAGATTGACGTCGTCTTTGCTTCTTCTCCAAGATTTCCCGCGCGCTGTGCTGGACAGAGAGTGGGGAAATCCTGGGGTAACCTCACAGGCCGACGCTCGCGGTGCCGCCCTCAAAGGTTGTTGCTAGATCTCGGACCTCATGGGACAAAGGTCAGGTTCGAGAGGCTGGTCAGCTGGCATTTCTGTGGCATTAATTGGTTGCGAGATGGTGAGTACGGACGACTCAGCATGCGGGGTGTTAAGGAGATACTTTGAGTCTGCAGATGCTATCCAGATCTAGGAGTCAAGACCAGGGGGTTGGCGATGGCAACTCTTCGACTCTAGCTGGTACTTGCCAACGCATCGTAGACACAAGGGGCATTGACGAGGATCTCGTAGGCTACATCCTACTCAGTTCCACGCTCATCTCAAGTTATCCCGCCGCAAACCTCAAACAGCCGAGTTTCCTCCCCTCAACTCACACAAGAACGATCCCCCCACGCCCACAAGTAACTCGCTAACGTCCAGCCCATGGCTAAACATTTATCAGAGTATCCCACCTTAGCGCCGAGCAAGGGAGAGGGGCACCAATTTAGCACCGAGGGTCGGAACTGGGGAACGGCTTTGAAGTTGCTCCCACATAGTGACCTAACAATTCTGCCGCGGTGTGTTCGTACTACGGAGGACTTGGGGCGCGACTCAACGTGGACTGACTGACTGACTTGACTCTTCTCCAGAGAGAGCTTGACCTTGTTGGACTACAGCTGAACGGCTTTGCACGAAACATAGCATAACGACAAAGATATTCGCGCGCCTCGCCTTTAGAGTCCCAACTCGACACCGGCGCGTGCGCATGCATCCTGGGCTTTTCCCTCCTCCTCCTCCTCCTCCTCATCAACCTACCTGCGTCTGCACTGCTACAGCTAGGTAGGCTGAGGAGCCATGGCGACAGCCGGAGTGAAGCGGTCCTACGTGGCCACCGCCATGAGCGATGAGGAGGACCATCACCACCACCAACTTGAGAATCCCGCAAAGTTCATCCGCGTCGACGGTCGCAATGGCCACTCTGCGTCGCCTAGCCAGCCCCAGAGCCCGAGGACCAACAGCAGCAGCAGATATTCCATGGCTGCTTGTTCACGACCAGAGACGCCAATCACGAGACCAGCAACACCCGTGGCCCATCTTCCTGGCGAGGTTCCGCCATTCCCTGCCGATGCCTCCATTGTCCTTGCCGGCATCCGCGGCGCAGGAAAATCAACGCTCGCCATCATTGCCTCGACCGCCATGGAACGGAGGGCCGTCGACTGCGAAAAGGCCTTCCAACAAGTCACTGGCCTGACCAGTTTCGCGTACAAGAGGGCCCATGGCCCCGCTGAATGTCACCGCCGGCAGACAGATGTCCTTCGAGACCTCCTCGACCAGAACTCCAAGAGCACCTTGATTGTGTGCAGTTGGATGGAACGTGGGGTCCAGACACTCTTGAGGGAGTTTTGTCGTACACATCCCGTCGTTCACATCGTGCGAGACGTCAAGGCTATTCAAGAGCACCTAAAGATCGAGGATGAAGATAAGGCGAGAAACTTGCTGGCGGCCAGCAGCACCATTTTCCGGACATGCAGCAACCTTGAGTTCTTTAACGTCTCCGAGACGGCCGACCCATGGATCGAAACCGATGCCGCAAGAATTGAGGCTCAAGCTGGTGGTCAAAAGCCACCTGCTCCCTACCTGACTTTGAAGCGGGCCGAGAGGCATTTCTTAAAGTTCCTTAGTCTCATCATGCCCAAGGGCTCCATTCCCTTCATCGAGTCGGCTTTCCCGTTGGCTTCCATACCTACCGAGGACAGACGGTTCACTTACGCCATCTCGGTCTCTCTTTCAAGCCTGCTGAACAATGAACTCGCCATTCAAGAGCTCGAGACCGGAGCAGATGCTATTGAGATCGTCCTCGACGGAATCGCTGGTGCGCAGTCACTAGACTCTGAACGAGCCGCCGACATTGCCAGAATCATAGGATCCATAAGGAGGAGCACCGTGATACCGTTAATGTACCACGTTGTTCTTCCAGATTCTTCAGAGTCAGTGTACACCGACTACATACTACACGGCCTGCGACTCTGCCCTGAATACCTCACTGTCGATCTCCGCCTCAACGACTTTCAACTATTGCACATCATCTCTATGAAGAGGCGCTCAAAGATAATTGGACATTTAACACCTGCGGCCGACTCCCCACCATGGTCAGACCCTTTCTGGATGTCACAGTATCATAGAGCACGGCGTCTAGGATGTGATCTGGTCCGGCTTGTCAAGCCAGTGACCTCCATTAAGGATAATTTTGATATCAGCCACCTCAAGGCTCTTGTTGAGGCTTCTACCGGCCACAAGATTCCCCTCATCGCTTACAACTCTGGACCTCGTGGGAGACACTCAGCGGCTATGAACCACGTCCTGACCAGTGTTGTGCCAGAGAAGCCCGTATCATCGACTTACAACCCTAATCAGCCATGCTTGACAGCAGCTCAAGCGACGCAGGCACTCTACAACTCGTTCCTGTTCGACCCTATGAAGATCTACGTCTTTGGTGCCCACGTCTCTTACAGTTTGTCACCAGCCATGCACAATGCCGCTCTGAAGGCTTGCGGCATTCCGCACCTCTACCGACCATTCTCGACGCCTTCCCTGAACGGGCTGCGAGAGCTCATTGAGGATCCTTACTTCGCGGGTGCCAGTGTTGGCTTGCCCTTCAAAGTCGAAATCATCACCCTCACACACTCTCTAAGCCGACACGCGCAGGCGATAGGTGCAGTCAACACACTTGTTCCTGTTCGTCGACTAAATCCCGACGGCACTATTCCAGAGGACGAGAAGCTCTTCAACTGTCGTAATCGCGCCGGTCCGGTCAGGGCGCTCTACGGAGAAAACACGGACTGGATCGGCATTCGGGCTTGCATTCGCAGAGGGCTCTCTCCCGCCAATGCTGTACGAACGTCGAGCTGCGGTCTCATCATCGGAGCTGGTGGTATGGCTCGCGCGGCTACCTACAGCATGCTGCAGCTAGGAGTCAAGAATATTGTGGTCTACAACCGGACAATTACTAATGCGGAAAAGATGGTTAATCATTTCGCGCGCCTGTTGAAACGGCACGACCTACCGCTCCTCAGCGCAACTTCGGACGTGGAAACGAAATTTCACATTATCCGAAATCTGGATGAGCCATGGCCCGAAGACTTCCGACTGCCGACAATGATTGTTTCTTGCATCCCGACGCATAGCATTGGCGATGTCCCTGCACCCAACTTCGAGGCGCCACAGGCATGGCTGGGAAGTCCAACTGGCGGTTGTCTGGTTGAGCTGGGCTACAAGACACTGGATACACCGATCTTGAACCAAGCGAGAAAAGTTTCGCACCGAGGTTGGGTTACTATGGACGGTCTTGATCTGTTGCCCGAGCAGGGTTTCGCTCAGTTTGAGTTGTTTACAGGCAGACGAGCACCACGTAGGTTGATGCGAGGAGAGGTTTTCCGTGCCTATCCCGACGGGCACGATCGCTCCGCACTTGCACAGCTGCAGCCGCGCTTGAATAATATTGTCGAGCAGGAGCCATGAGATTTCTTTCCTATGGGCATGGAGTAATGATAACAGGAGACTATGATGAGAGAGCAGTGCATTCTATACTGCTAGCCAAGATACCACAGCAACGTACACGACTAATAAAATGAGTAAAAATAATTGACCCCATGTCTCACATGCTCCTCCGACTCCCGCATCCTTCCTGATTGCGAGGTTTTCTACTCGCTTTACAGGCGTAGGCTTCATGTGCTCTATTGATCGATTTCTTTCTGACCTCAGCAAAGCAAGTGGATATGTGGGATGTTGTTACCGTCGTAGTAGCCGAGATTAGGGAAATCAGTCAATCAAGTACATTGCTCCAGGTCGGCATCACCTTCAGGTTCCATTCTTGAATTCACCCAGTTCCTCCGTTAAGGCCTCTCGATTCAGGAGTGTGACGACCATCTCCCGCTGTGGTCAACACCTTCTCGGGCACCTTTGGGTTCTCGATGTCACTACCGTCTCGCGTTCCCTCAATCTCGATTCCGTCTCCCCTGGTCAAGATTGTCTGCTCAACCAAGGTCTCCTTTGCAGGTACAACCCAGCTCAGTGTGGTATACAGGAATATCGAGACGACGAATCCAAAAAGCCAATCAAAGCTGTAGAGATTCTGAGCACCCTCGGAGATCTGGACCGCAGGGTAGCCACTGATTGCCAAAGCCATCCCGGGCAAGTTGGGGGCAACAGGCACAATGAAAGCAACAAATGCCCTCCAGTTACAGCCTGCGATGTACCTATAGCGACCATGAGGGTCGTATAAGTCTAGAAAGAAAACGGGGTGTTAGTATAAGGTGGTCAAGATAAGGAATCGTCACTGGACATACCGGGCAGATCGTATCGTTGTTTTTTAACGAGCCAGAAGTCAGCAGCCATGATACCACTCAGGGGAGCGAGGAAGACAGCGTATGCCCCCATGAAGTTCAAGAACGTAGCGGCGCTGGCAAGAATCTTCCACGGGACAATAACCCAGGCACCTATCACAGCAGCGACTATACTGCCCCTTCTAATGTTGATGTAGCGCGGGAACATGACAGTCAGATCGTTGGCTGCGCTGATGCTGTTTGCCGTGACGTTGGTGCCGATCGTTGCAATAAGCCATGCCAGAGCCCCGAAGAAGGCAGCACAGCGTCCTCCTGAGCCATTTCCCAACCAAAGACTGACTATATCGAGCGGGTTCCAAAGGTAATCACCGTCTCCCTGGAAGACTTTCGTGGCCGAAGTGGTAATAATACCCATGGTTCCACACAAGGTGAAAACGATAGGGACAAATATGAGCTGGACGTTTTGAGCGTTCCTGGACTTGCTATAGCGCAAGAAGTCCGGAATATTGATTGCCATCGTGCTCCACTGTCCCGAGACCGACGACATGCAGCTCAGCCAAAGCCAGGCATACTTGGAAGTCCCTGGAGAGAACTCAGGTTGCAACCTGAAGATATCACCCCCGCCACCGGCCTGTTTGACAGCCCATCCCAAGGTCCCTAAAACCACAGCTGGAGTAGCAAGTAACTTGACGTAGAAGAGCGGTCGAAGTTTAGTGGGGTGAATGAGTAACAACGGCAGTTGAATGATCCAGAAGAGGAAGAATCTTGGTCACTTGTCAGTACTCTGATATACAACCATTGCCTCCATGAACAGACTCACGAGCACATTCCCATGGAGGTGATGCCCGCCGATTCGGGTAGGGCATTCGGAATCCGTCCGTAAGAGGGAGCCCACGCACTCAGCATGATCGTCACACATACACTCCCGTTGACGCACTATCATTGAAGACTGATGTTAGCATTGGAGTCAGTTGAAGTGATGCGTACGAGTCGATACCTGTACACCCAGCCAGAACATAGCAAGGATGGCTCTGCTGACAATGGCAAAGTATCTGTGATGAGAGTCAGCTTCTATTCCAAGCGCTAAGTATACTACATGACCACTCAAGTATACTTCAACCAAAAGTACATACCTCAAGTAGAACCCAAAGCTACCCGTAGCAATGACACTGAAGGGGACATGTAGACGACTTCCTATGGCTCCATTGAGGACCATTGCTATTGCGATACACGTTGTTCCGACGAACATGATGGGAATCGCCTCTCGCCAGCTGAGTCCGACAGCAAGTATAGATCCGGCGGTCTGTAGAGTTGAGAGGTTCATAAGGTCGGTACTCCAGTACGCCAGGATAGTCCACAACGACCAAGTCCGCATTGGCACCGGCACGGGGTCCATGTCCGGGTTGGTTCGTACGCCTTCTGGCGCAATGGCGCTGGGGTGCTTGGGAAGCTCCCATGCCTCCATCGACGTAAATCGCCGCCTCGCTTCCTGCATATTTATGCCCTTCATCCTGTCGTTGAAGCTGTCCGAGTCCTCACGCAGACCAAAATTACCGTCGCCCTCGCACTCCTAGATTGAAGTTGTGGTCAAAAACGGCCTTCCGAGAAAATTGATGTGTGCCAACAACCTTGTGGGTGCACAATTGCAGCAGACCAAGCCACGCCGAGGAGGAGTGAGACATGGCCACACCTATATAGTCCGAAAGCATCCAGCTTTATGCAAAGCAACCCGTCTACGGATGTGACCTTTCGACCTCTATACGACCTACATTTGCGGGATTCGCTCCGGCCAGCTCCGTATCCTGCAGCCCAAAGAAAACAAGGCCATGTCGCCAATGATTACTTGGTCGGGGTTGACTGTTCAGCCATGCTCTCAAACGATTATCCTGGGCAAGCAAGTCGACCAAGTAAGCCTGATGGCCTGGTCTTTGGGGAAAGACAGATAACGAGGCGACATGGAGGGATGCCAGGCACTCGATCAACAGCGCAGGGGGTAGACGCACCAGAGTGGGATTCGTGTGACCAATTGCCGTCGGCCTTCTTATCAACCCTCGATGGTACTATTCCGCCTGTGCAAAAGAAGACCAATTGACAACCGAAACCATCTAGCGTGGCGTTGTTGAGGCGACAATGCAGCATTCGCATGAGACGTCAGGTATCCGAAGCGTAGCTTTCTGTGGCGTCAAATCGGTTATCACTTATCTACCTTGATGATCTGCTTTATGACACTGAAGTCTTTAAAGCGCGATCTTCTCGCCCATACTTACTGTCAGATGTTAGTAGTCAGATATAATGCCACCGGATGCTCCAAGCAAGGGGCACAGGAAAGTCTCGTTGCGGTAAGATACGTGGCTTGCACAACAGTGGCTCAGAGTGAATTCGAGACAGTGAGGGCGGGTATTCAAACTTCGTACATGATCAACAACACATTCAAATACACGAAACCCTCAGCTTTTAATGCAAAATCGCACAACCATCCACGCCATTGAAATCAACACAGCTTTCGACTTCAAGACAGCTTTTCATCACGCTTGCCAGTGGTGTTATGCCCAACGGGCTGAATGTCCTCTGAATCAGCTCCCCGCGCACTCTCCCCACCATTAACGTCCTTTGGAGTAACGATACCAGTGGTGGGGATGACATCATGGCCCTCTGTGTCCTCAATCTCCTCGTCGAGCACAAAGTTGAGGAACATGCAGACGAAGGCTGTGATAGCGAAGCCCGTCTCCATGATGAGTACGATGGCGTCGAGGAACCCCCTTAGGCCGCGGTTGTCACCTGCATACGTAAAGACGTTGTCAAAATACGTAGGAACGAGAGTGGCGCCATAGCCGAGTGTGAGACCAGCGGTCAGGATGAAGCGGTTTCGTCGGTTGAAAGGCACACCCTTTGTGATGATGGCCATACCGGAGACGGCGACAGCCGTGAAGAGGAACGAGGTCATACCTCCAAGCACGGAGGAGGGGATGGCGACAAGCGATGCGGCGAATTTGGCAAAGATGCCCATAATGATGAGGAAGAAGCAACTAGACAAGTGTTAGCCGGGAAGATCTTGAGAACTGGAAACAGAAAATATACCAGCAGTAGCCGGCGCTGCGGTTAGCACAGCGGGTGAGAGCGATGACTCCGTTGTTTTGAGCAAACTTTCTTCAATCAGTTCCTAAGTTGTTCAGAGCTGGGCAGACTCCATCAGCTTACAGTTGTCATAGGTGTGATGGTCATTAGGGCCGCAAGAACGCCGTTGATACCATCAGCGAGGACGCCTCCCTGGATACGGGACTCGAAAAGACGGCCCTCAACCTCAAGGCGAGAGACATCACAAGTAGCAGTAATGTCACCAATGGCCTCGGTGGCGCAGATGATATAGACGGCTAACAGAGGCCTGTTGACATGTTTAGCTTCGGTTTTCACATGCTCGCCTATGACTCGAAGTTTGAGGCTTACAAGATGAGCGGCCCGTAAAGGGTGAGTTTAAAGGTATGCACCCAGATGAAAGAGGCGGCAGGGGCACTGTCGATTCCGGAGCGGTCAAAGTAACCAGTCGCAGCGGCGATGATGCATCCTAGGAGCAGGTCAGTAACAGAGCATATGGGCATGGCGAAAGACGCAGGATTGCTCCTCACCAACAAGGAGACCAATAACAACGGATGTCGACTTCATGATGGGCGCGCCAAATCGCTCGCAGAGAATGATGGTCACGAAGACGGAGAAACCCAAGCCCAAGTACTCGGCGGAGCCCCAAGGGAGGGCATGAGGCGCGGAAATGTTGGGGCACCGGGCGAAGAAGTCGGAAGTCGGGTTGGCACAAGGGCCGGAGCCGCCCATCCAGTTCTGGAAACCAGTCTCGATCAAGTGGATGCCAATGAGCATGACTGAGCACACGTCAGACGCCGTCTCTCACGGGTTTTCACGTTTCGGGGGCTTACCTGTCGGGCCAGTCACGATGGGCGGGAAGATGCGAAGCATCACCTTTGGGGGCATAAAGGAGATGGCAATCTCAATCAGAGCGCAAAGGGCACTAGAGCCGATGATGGCTTCACTCTGTCAGTTGAACAAGCATTGCTTGAAGGTTTAAGGGTAAGACTCACCGCCGTATCCGTCAGGGCACGGGAGCTTGTTTCCCTCCCCATCCATCGGACAGAATCCATTGGCATACATTTGGGAGAGGGCTCCCTGAGCGACCGGGATAATGGCAAAGGAGATACCGACTACAGAGATCAAGCCAGTTCCAATGTAATAGCTACATGGAGATGTAAGTTGGAATGTCTCACAGTAGGGATGCATTTCTTCTTCTTACGGAGTCTTCAGAATATGGAATCTGGTGATTTGGATCATGGACAACAAGCCGGAGACAATCAAAGCTGTGGAGACAAGATATTGTTGCATCTCCCCAGTGAGATTAGCACCTGCAGCGCCGCTCAGCAGGATAGGCGGCGTGATGATGCCAGCCAACATGGCAAGGGCGTGCTGGAATCCTAGCAACAGGGCCAAGAGCGTAGGCATCCGGTCGTTCAAGCCAAAGAAGGGAGCGGCTTTGCGACTCTTCCTCATAAACGGCAAGTTCGGGGTGAAGAGGAAAGCATAGTCGTAGTCGCCGATCAGGCCCTCCTTGGTGAAGAATCTGTTCTTGGTGCTGCGAAGGCGGTCTCCCATTGTCCGCTTGGGAGCTGTCCCAGGGACGATTTGGCTTGGGCCCTGATCTTCATCCATGATGTCGCCGACGTTTTGAGTCGTGCAATCGGCACTTGGTGCTAGCGGTGACTGTAATTAACCAAGACCACGCCGACTTTGCGATTCGAAGAGGAGTCAGACTCGTCGATGATGCAGACAAAACAAGACAAGACAAGACAAGGTAAGGCAAAAGAATCTGACCCGACGGTATCCACGGAATCACCATCCAGAGGCAGGGTTGTGGATCTCTCTTTATATATCAATCTGACTCGATCATTGTTTGCATGGGTGAGATCCTTTTAGTTGATGGTATCGAGCAATTAGCTTCAGCCGCTATCAGTGGGATAAGCGGCTCGGAACGATGTGAATGGCTAGCGATAGTAAAAAAAATGTGTATCCCCCAGAGGAGCGGGCCCGGTTCTGGAGTAGGGTGCCACGGGTGTGTAGCTGCGTAGCTGAGAGACTCGAGAGTGTGCAGTGCCCGGTCGGGGTGCCGGGCGCGCAGAAGATTGACGGTCGAGTCCAGGAATCCAGAGTAGCACCGGCTGTCTTAGGACGTGGGTTGCCAGTAACAAGGGGTGGTGAGAGAGAAAGAGAGTCTGAAGATACATTACTTTGCTACTGAACTCACAGCTCGTCATCATGTAGTTGGCATGTCAAGTCTCGAGAAGCAGAGAGAGGAAACAACTAGGTAGAACGCAACTTGGTATCTTGCAAGTGACATGTTTGTTCCGTCACACCTGATACAGCGACCCAACAGCAGCAATGGCGCTACTGCAGAGGATCCGGAGCACCCATCAGAACCAACGTCGACATCTTCTTTGGGAGGGGGGGGGGGTGAGAGGGCCTGAGTGTGGGGGAACTCCCCGGCATCGCTCCCGCGTGGCACACCAGGAGAATCCCGCCTTCATCCTCTGAGTGCTCGTTCGGGCACGTCCTACATGGGCCCGGGGAGATCAAGCTACAGAGTAATAGAGAGATGCGGCGAGCTGCGAAGTTCGAAGTGCGACATGCGGCGCCAAAGAGCGGGATGATGGGTCAACTGCCAGCGGCTCGCCTTGTGTGATCTCCGCGGGGGTCCCGACTCTCACGGCTCTCAGCATAGTTGTCTTGTCAGTGTCTCATTAATTATCCATTTTTTTCTCGGCGGCTGATGATCTCTGTAGGTTCCATCCTGCCGCGAACTTCCCCGACGTAATGCCATGATCGCTGCTCGCCGCCGGCCAGATCGAGTTGCCGTTTCTACGGCTCATCCTTCTTGACTCCAAACGGTGGCGGAACAACCACGATCGTGTGGTGCTGTAGAGAAATGCATCATGCCATTGAGAAATTGGCAACTTGGGTGTACCTTGATGACAGTCGTTCGTGGGTAAAATTGGGAATGGTTCGTGCGCGAGTAATGGTCTCCCCCCTGGTTTATGGATAGTGTCAGCTCAACACCTTTGACTCTGACTCTTCAACACGTCAAGAAGCACACGATGCTGCTTTGCCTCAGCTTCAGATACATCGTCTGATGCCTCTTACCCAGGCTTGACCTCTGCCCACCGAAAGGTTGTGGGCAGACATTCTTTTACGCGACACACCTTCTAACGGATGCCAATCCAGAGCCCCTCTCCCCCCAAAGAGCCCCAAAGAAGCAAACCAACTGCTTAGATCCGGACTGGCGTGAAGATAAGAGCTGACCAGGCCACCCAGGCACCCCAGAGAAGCGCACACCAAGTCTCCGTAGAGATAAGAAAGCACCCCAATCGAGTCAAGGAGGGAATCCCGGGAGATAGAGGCGTCGACACCCGCGACACAGCGCCTATCTCATTGGCTTAGTCTGCTGCCGAGACTCGGAGATGCAGCTCTTCGGCAGGGCTGGGCGGGATGAAGAATTGCAATAGACGCGTCGCTCTCTGCTAGAAACAGCAAAGACACCAGAGAGCTTCTGTCTGCCATCGGCGGGCTCCGACAGCAAGGGAGAACCCCCATAAAGGGTCTCGCCGAAGAGACCTTAGGAAGCTCACCA